CTGAAGTGCATAAAATATTCCTAGTAAAACTAGAATGGATCAATCCTTGTTGTCTTCCCCATGTTCTTTAAATCAACTCTGTTGGAGTTACTCTGACCTTGAGTCACTGTTTCCCATCATTTCTCAGGTGTTTGGAAATGGTCTCTTTGAGAATCATCTCCCATTTTCTTTCCTCCACCACCTCACTTTGAGGTAATGGCATCTTGCCGTAGGGTGGTTTCAGTGCTCCTTACTTTCTTTGTAAAGTTTTTTTCCCATAACAGTTTCTAGTTGGGCATTCTTAAAATTCAAGTAGGAAGGACATTAGATCTAATATGAAAGAGACCACAGTGAAATGTGGGTGTTTTTGGGGGTGAGGTGGGATTTTCAATCTTCTCTCTTCTCCCCATCCCCCTATGGGGTGTATTGGAGATCAACTTCCTCCACCCCCCCAGGTTTAACCCCCCCACTCTGCCCTCCCGTTCCCTACTCCCTTCCTCCCCCCCAGCCAATGGAGATCTTCGTGGATGATGAGACGAAGTTGACGCTGCATGGATTGCAGCAGTACTACGTGAAACTGAAGGACAACGAGAAGAACCGGAAACTTTTTGACCTTCTGGATGTCCTTGAGTTCAACCAGGTCAGTTGTTGAAGGTCCACTAGGGATCATCGTTGGATACATGTCCTGCTATAGCAGATACCTATTTATTAAGTACTCTTACTGAGGAGACCACATGTGATGTAGGAGAATGATGATTGTATGAGTGTCTTTAGGGGCTGAGTTTGACCAAGGGTGGGAACTGCTTTTCTTTTCTATGGCTAGCAGGGATAGATCTTGAGTAAATAAAAACCTCAAGGAAAATATCAAATCTTTAAAGGGTTTTAGTGAGTTTGTAAAAATCTTGAAGTATTTTGGATGTGTTAGGGTTTGTTTTTTTTTTTTTGAGACAGAGCCTCAAGCTATCCCCCTGGGTAGAGTGCAGTGGCATCACAGCTCACAGCAACCTCTAACTTCTGGGCTCAATTGAGTCTCCTGCCTCTGCCTTCCAAGTAGCTGGGACCACAGGCGCCCACCACAATGCCAGGCTATTTTTTGGTTGCAGCCATCATTGTTGTTTGGCGGGTCCGGGCTGGATTCGAACCTGCCACCTTAGGTGTATGTGGCTGGTGCCTTAGCCACTTGAGCCACAGGCGCTGAGCCTGTGTTAGGCTTCTTAAATCTGTTCTAGTACTAAGGGAAGCATTTTTTTTTTTTTTTGTCATTTAAAATTTTAGTAGCCATGTAAGAGAAAATAAAAAGAAATGTGAGATTGAGTGTAATAATTTAACTCAAATATGCAAAATATTTTTATTTCAGGATGTTATCAATATAATATTATTGTAGTTTCTCATTTTGGTACTAAATCTTTCAAAGTCATTCTATGTTTTAAGCTTCCAGCACATCCCAGTTCAGACCAGCTTATTGCAGATGCTCAGTAGCCACCCATGGTCAGTGGCTGACTTATTGAAGTTTACCTGTGAGGGTTCTGACACTTCTGATCTCAGGGAGGTGAGAGGCCTGAACCCACCTTTTTCTGCCAGAGAATGGAACACCCTCTTCCTGCCAAACTTTATTCTCAGGCCCAAGGGTGAGAGAGGCACAGTGCCCAGATAGATAGGCTTCAGGGGACTCTTAAGAAGAAAGTGTCCATAGGCAGACAGAGGCATATTCCCCTTCCAAAGATGATACAGTAAATGAAGAACCTGGGGCCCCAGGCAGAGGGAACAGATGGTTTTATATTTGTCCACATCTTTGACCTCCAGAGTTTAGGTGTGGAGGGAATAGATTAAAGGGAAATTTATGTTGCAATTTGGCCTTGTCCCTGATAGGCTGTGATTACCGGTTTACTCTTCTGTAGGGTCTGTATGTGTTAAAGGCATACGTGTATAAATACACTTCTGTATAACTTAACCCAGGCATCCATGTATAAATGCACTTCTGTATAACTTAACACTGTCTAATAAGAGGTCTAACTTTAAATGTGGAGAAATTAAAATCAGTACCTATAGGGTCCCTTCTGTTTGTCACTTATGTGGTAATCATCATCAAATCCTGGGTTCTACCTACACTGGGTGTATATATTAGTTAGCTACTATTACATAACAAACTACCCTAAAAGTTATTAGCTTGTGATTGAGCAAATCAGCAGTTTAGGCTGAGATCAGCTGAGTCTTTTTCTGGTCTCAGCTGGACTCTTCCGGGAATGTGTGGTTTAGCTGGTGATTGACTAGGCAGCTGTGCATCTGGCTGTTGACCGAGCACTTTGAGTATCCTTTCCATGGGATCTCATCCTCCCAACAAGTTAACATTAACTTGTTCTCATGGAGGTAGCTGGGTTCCACACTTTCTCAGTCTCTTTTCTTTATATTTAAATTCCTAGGGCCACAGCTTCCATGTCTTCTCCAGTACCAATTTTTCAAATAAAATATTTATGCTCTTCCCTGGTGGATGGTCTTGTGTGTAATGAGAAGTCTCTGGTTTCCTTGTTTTCTAGGGCTCTTTGAAGACAAGTGATCAGTTTCAGGGAGACCAGGTTTTTGTAATTCTCTAATATAACTTCCCTAAACAGATTCTGTGAGTAGGATCTAGGCATGGCCACTCTTCAAGAGAAAATTCCATGGTCACATCTTTGAATGGCAACAGTCCCAGTTCCCAGATTTCTGGGGTCTCCTGCCACCCTCCACCCAGATCTTTCGGTAACTCTTAAGAGAAGCATTTCATCTATATACCTGTTACCTGTTGTGTGGTCTCTTTGTATTAAAAACTGCTTTTCTGAGTTAGGATAGGTCCCTTAGGATTAATGTTTTGGTGAGTAGAAATACAGTATAACTTCTGCAAGTTGACCACCCAAAGACCTGTAACTGGCCAACATAGGGAGGTGGTCAGCATAAGAACCTAAGCCTACTGTGCTGATGTGTACTTGTGGTGCATGGCCAGTCTATGGAAACGAGGTCAATTTGGGGTGGTCAGTGTGCTTCCTATTGAGGTTTTAGTGGATCAGTCATGGTATTTTCAGATCTTAATATTTCAGTATCTTCATATTTTCATGAGGTGGCCCCATTCTTGTTTCTTGACATGTCTAGCAATTTTGGTTACTGATCTCTGTACCTTCTTAGAGGTCAGTTTGCTCAGGAAAAATCAAAGCTGTGTGAAAGAGGAAGACCAAGTTACATTTAGAGCAGAAAAGGAAGTATGTAGTAAGGAATAAGAGGGATGAAGAGGAATTCTTCAGAAGGGTGTAATTAATAGAAACTCTTTTCACACATGATCTCTGTCACACACCATGGACCCACAATTCCCCCTGCTGCCCCCTCCCCTCCCCTTCGCTCCCCTTCCACAGGTGGTAATCTTTGTGAAGTCTGTGCAGCGATGCATTGCCCTGGCCCAGCTCCTGGTGGAGCAGAACTTTCCAGCCATCGCCATCCACCGTGGGATGCCCCAGGAGGAGAGGTGAGTTGGAGATGGGGTAATGTATTGTGTCTTTGGGAGAAAGACCACTGAGAGAAGGGGAACCTCAACCTTTCTTTAATTTCCTTTCTCACAAAGGCTTTCTCGGTATCAGCAGTTTAAAGATTTTCAACGACGAATTCTTGTGGCTACCAACCTTTTTGGCCGAGGCATGGACATTGAACGGGTGAACATTGCCTTTAACTATGACATGCCCGAGGATTCTGACACCTACCTCCATCGGGTAAGCCCCACGTCCAAAAGAACATCCCATCCTTCCAGCCTTTTGTTTTCTCTCCTTATGTACCTTACGTCCTCCCTGCCTCTGGGTGTCTTTCCTCATCTGGGTCTTCTAGTCCTACTATTTGTTTCCTTCTAGGTGGCCCGAGCAGGCCGGTTTGGCACCAAGGGCTTGGCCATCACATTTGTGTCAGATGAGAATGATGCCAAGATCCTTAATGATGTGCAGGATCGTTTTGAAGTCAATATTAGTGAGCTGCCCGATGAGATAGACATCTCCTCCTACAGTGAGTATTGATCTCATGAAGCCCTTTATTTATTTATTTTTTCCCCTCATCTCCCATTTCAAATTCTTTCACAGTGAGAACCTTGGTTCCCCCCAAAATCAGTAAATTCTCATGAAGCCCTTTAAATCTATTTGTTCCTCAGTGTGTTTCTCAAGAATCCCATCATGGGGCTCGGTGCCAGCCACATACACTCAAGGTGGCAGGTTTGAGTCCAGCCCAGGCCCGCCAAAACAAAATGATGGCTGCAACCAAAAATAGCCGGGCATTGTGGCGGGCGCCTGTGGTCCCAGCTACTTGGGAGGCTGAGGCAGGAGACTCGCTTGAGCCCAGGAGTTCGAGGTTGCTGTGAACTGTGATGTCACAGCACTCTGCCCAGGTGGATAGCTTGAGGCTCTGTCTCCAAAAAAAAAAAAAAAAAAGAATTCCATCACGGGTAATGGCCTGATGTGTAATGAACCCTTGACCAGTTCATAGCCCACTGCCCCTCACCCCTTTGATGCAGTGTTGGGATGTTTTCTTGACGTCTTTGTGGGGTCTCATTCTTCTCTCATGTTATTTCACTTTCCCTGTCACTAGTCTTTCCTGTGAATTCACACAACACGCCAACATCCATCTGCATGTGTGTGTGTACATTCCTGCCTTGCCTTTTGTGTTCCTGTGCCTTATTCTGACGGTGTCATGATTTCTCCTCAGTTGAACAGACACGGTAGAGGATTTACCCATTCTGGAATGCGACAGTCTGTTCTTCAGGAGAGGACACCAAGTGTGGGGGTGAAGGAGACACTACTGCCACCTGCCCCTGACAGCCCCACCCTCACCCCATGGCGTCCCTCTTCTGCATCACCACCACTCCTAAACCCCCCATTTCCTGATTTATCAGAATTTTTTTTAACAAAACTGAAAATGAAACACATGTGTGTCTGTGGAATCTGTTGAGTGGTTTGTCCCTTTATTGTATTTGTGGTGAGGTTATTTTAGGGCTGGTCCAGGGTGAATTTCTGTGAGGATTGTGTACTCTGCTATGGAATAAGGTCAGTGGGTGGGATCAGAGGGAGGGATGGGACTAAGGCTCCCCCACTGCCTGCTGGTTTCTGCCCCTTCCTGGAAGTCTCTTCTAGTTTCTCAGTGGCCTTTGAGGGCCTGAGGTATTAACTGATTGCCGGGCTCCTGGGGGGTGGTGTGTAGCATTTCCAGTGTTGAAAGGTGATGTGGTGAGGGCTGGTGGGAAGCTTAGGCCTCTCCTCCGAGGCTCCTTCGGTGTCTCCTCATCTGTTCTTTCAGCTTCTGGATCTTGAGTACCAAAGCCTGTGCCTCCCAGGCCCCCTCCTGCCCTTCCAGCAAGGCCTGGTACAGCTCCAGCTCCTGCTCCAGCAACTCCTCAGCTTGAGCCAGCTCGGCTGTGCGGTGGGGCTGGGGACCCTGGATGAGGGGGAATTGGGAAGGAGCATTGACTATGGGAGGGGCTGAGGCTCCTGGGCCGCTGTGTTGCAGAGTTTGGCCAGGAGTCAGGAATTCAACCCTCTCCCTTTTTCCACCCCATTAGTGTAAGGCCACCTGCACTAAGAAGCCTCTGCTTGCTGCGTAGGACTCTAGGAGGCATATAGAGATCACTGGCCCAGGGGCTATAACTGGATTCCTTGAACAAGGATTGGGGTCACTGGAAAGAGGACTGGCTGGCCCTACACCCTGAGAAATAATTAACTGTTAGGGGATTCCTGTTCAAGGACACTCTGGACTGTGCTGCTGTGGGGATTGTGGGGGAGGGGGAGTCCTGAGGTCTTGACTGGGGTGGGGGCAGGCACTGGGAGCTGACAGTTGAGACTAGGCCTAGAGCTGCAGAGGTGGTGATGGTGCAGGATGGGATTGAGGGGATTCCTCCCCAGTACAAATTCTCCACCCTCCACCCCACTCTTATTGCCACTTACCTTGGGCAGGGATTTCATCTTCCCACTGCTTCTGGAGCTGGTCTTCCCTTCTGTGCTTGCCTTGGGATTTTGGAAACAGTAACCCCGTGAGCCCTGGCATGCCAGGGACCAGGAGGGTAGGAGGAGGCGAAGGCAACAGCCCCGAGAAAGCCAGGGCAGAGGGAGGACCATGGCAGGAGAGGCAGAGAGCTGTCTGAGCAGCCACCAGCCACCAGGAACTGGCTTCCTCCAGGCCTTGGCCTTGCTTCAGTGCCTGGCCCTGCCCAGGCCTGCCCTGCTCGCTCTGCTGTCCCCACCTCCCAGCCTGGCCCTGGCTGGACAAGAGTCCAGAACAACTGTTCTGATGAGAAAAGTGGTCCTTGCCAGTTTAGGCAGAACTTGGTTTAGAAAGTTGGTGCTGGCTTACCACAGGTCTTAAGTCTGCTTTTTTTTTTTTTGAGAGTTACTTTGTTGCCCTTGGTAGAGTGTTGTAGCATCATAGATCATAGCAACCTCTAACTTTTGGGCTCAAGCAATTCTCTTGCCTTAGCCTCCCCAGCAGCTGGGACTACAGGTGCCTGCTGCAATGCCCAGCTATTTTTAGAGGTGGGGGTGGGGGGGATGTCTCCCTCTGGCTCAGGCTGGCCTTGAACCTGTAAGCTCAGGTGACCCACCCACCTCAGCCTCCCAGAGTGCTGGGATTACAGTAGGCGTGAGGGCCCTCACGCCTTAGTGTTCCTGGCCATAAGTCTGCTTTTATTTTTTTTTTTGAGGCAGAGCCTTAAGCTATCCCCCTGGTAGAGTGCTGTGGCATCACAGCTCACAGCAACCTCCAACTCCTGGGCTCAAGCGAGTCTCCTGCCTCCGCCTCCCAAG